ACTGGCAGAGGTCACTAGAGTTCTCTAGCAAGGAGATGCAGAGGTTGATGACTAGGGCCAGCCAGGCCATCCCAAACAGGATCCACAAAGATATCAGGTTCTTGTACCAGGAGGGGTAGGTGCGGTCTGGGTTCATCCCTGCAAGAAAAGCACCCAAACATGTAAAGACCAAGCGTGCCATAAAAGACATTTTATAGCTAAAGGTAAAGCAGAGGCTTGGGCTGGGAAGGACTCATAGCATCTGCTCATCACCAACTTTGGGATATGCCATGTACCCTTAAGATCCGCCCAGCATGGCAAGGGTGGTATTCAGACAATACGGGGATGGGGCGGTATAAAAATGTAACTGATCAGATCGATATATGGGACAGCTATAACTCCCCACACTGGCTGGTGTGGTATGGTGGAAATATCGCAGAATGGCGCTGCTCCCTGTACAAAACATGAACGTGCCAGCTGTTTCGCAGCCAGGTGCGCATTGTAAGCCAGACTTGTTTCATGGCTATGTCAGTAACACCCCCATAAGTCACTGTCAATTGTCAATATTACCATAAAGAAAAATTAAACCAAAATTAGATCCACTTTCAAACTGAAATTGTGGCCATGGATGTGCCTTCCCCAGTCCTGTTTTCCTCCAGCTATTGTTAAGTACTAGAATACTGTCACAGGATGGCACCGTTTGCTTGAAGTACCCTACGGTATTTAAAGGTGTTCTTGGCTGGCTTCTGCTTACTTACACATGTCGATGCTTTGTTGAGCCATCTGGCATATAAGTGAAGTGGGAGTGAGTTTCTGAGGGTGAGAGGGACCTCAGGAAAGGGATGAGCACCCTTTGAAAGAACCCCTCGGAATAGCCATGCCTAGGAGGCCTGAACTGAACTTGGTTACCTTTAGCTGATTTCTTAATTACAGTATTTAGATTGTAAGCTCTTTGGGAAGATGCCCTTTGTTTGTCAAGGCTCCTGGGTGCTATGGCATTACAATAAGTCAAACCCCTTTGGTTTCTACCTCCTGCATAGACTGTATTGAGAAAGCAATTTAGAAAGGCAGCTGCTGGCTGACACCAATGTTCCCAAGATAAGAATCACAAGCAGGAGATGACAAGTGCTTGCATTATTGTTTTCTTTATCAGCACTTGGCTCCTAGCAGTCATTTTTAATGGGAGGGTTTGACATTTTCACCACTGAAACCCATGGGCTATGCAAACATTACAGAAAAGGACAGAAAATGGCAGAATTAAACAACATACCCGCACATGCCAAGTTGCCAGGCAGCTCTCACCTTGTCATTTATGATCTTATTTATGTAACGTTGAGTAATCACCACTGGTTTGCAAAGAGCCCTGTCCTGGAATAAGCAAGTCTGCTGCTTTGCCTACATTCTTCCCCTCTGGGCCTAAAGGGCAAAAGTCAGCACTACACAGAGATGAACACAAAATCTAGGCCCACCTCTGTCCCATGTAACCCCAGGATGCAAGCAACCCTTGGGCTTCACACTAGCTTTGTGCCCAAAGGTGAATTTCAGCTAGAGACGCTTGCAGGTTCCCGAGATATCAAGCAGGCCCCTTTCACCAGTGAGAACTTCATCCTGAGGCTTAACAGCCATTCGCAGTGCGCACCGCAAGCTTCTTCGAAAAGGAGCGTAAGCCACAAGGTGCCAGATCACTCGGACCTTTGGACAGGAAACCTTTCTCCTTGGAGTTCACTGGTTGAATAAAGGGGCTGGAGTAAGGGCCAGCATCAGAGAAAATGATGCCCTGGGCAAACTTGTGTTTTGGTCCTCTGATCCCTGTTGGCATAGCACCACCCATTTTTCCTGGCACCCTTGGGCTCCTCACCCCCTGCACTCCTATCCTATGCTCTTTTTACCACTAGCCCTGCATTGCACCTCCTTTCCCCCTAACTTCTGCACAGTGCCCCCTTCGTCCCCACCCCTGTGCTTCCCTTCCAGTTGTGTTCCCAGCCCCCGACTTGTGCTTCCAGTATGCCCTGCCACACTGCCCCTGCTCAGTACCCTCCACCATTTGCCCAGCAACCCCATGCCCAGTTGCCCCTCACCCTCTGTCTCTGGCACCCCTGGCATGGGCCCAGTTAGCTCGGTTCTAAGGCCAGCCCTGTTTGGTGGGGGTGGGGGAGCCATGCGGCAACATCCTGACAGCAGGGGGGTTGACCAGGAGTGTAGCTTCATCGATTTCAAGGCCAAAAGGCACCACTGTTGTGTAACACAGGCCATAGAGTTTGACCATTACTCCTGTACTGAGCCCAACATGCTTATGTACTAAGCTGGTGATGGAAGGCAGCTTACAAAGCTCCTCAGTAGTCAAGACTGCATAACTTGGGAAGTTACATCTGTTGCCTGTCTACAGAGCCCAATCACCGGTAATTAAGCACCAAAGAAGAGCTGCGAAGAAAGGAGGGCAGGAGAGTCTATGGGAAAGGGGTATCCTGTTCCTGTCTCTCGGGCCTTGAAGGCATGTGTGTTTCTACAGATCGTGTGTTTTGGCTGGGAAAAGCTTTATCAAAAAGCATGTGCCTGGGCCTAATTCATTTCTTCTAGTTTTGGAAGCTGAGGATACTGTCTGGGGGCCTGACAGGCTCAAGTGAAGTCTCTCTATTGGCTCTTGAGAAAGGAGAAAGGAAGTACAATGTTATGGGCTTGGTAGATTAGGAGCATGATGAGACAAAATGCTCCAAGTCTTGAGGCTTTACATTGCAGCGCATCAAACTTGTAGTATCAGGCTAGTTCTGGTCTCATAAAGGGCACAGTGACTGGATGCAGGAGACTGCTTTTCACATCCTGCCATGCAGAGGAGTCACCATGCATGGCCCGGCTATCACAGAAACCATCTCCTCCTTCTCCTCCAAGTCAGCGACCTGCCACATTGCATTTGCTGTCAGTCCTGGGACTCATCAAAAGGATGCCACCTGGGGCTCCAGGAGGCTGCCACACAGTTTTTACTGCTTTCCCCTAAGCGAGAGGGATGAAATCCTAGCTGCTTACCAATCACATAATCTCCAAAGCCTATTGTGCTGAGGGTGATGAAGGAATAGTAGAATCCTTCTTCGTAGGTCCAGCCTTCTACCACAGAGAACAGAAACGGAGGCAGCAGAAGAAACAGCAACAAGCCAGTCACCAGTGCACAGGTCCTCGTCAATACGGTTGCTGCTGCCTAGTCCAACAGACAAGAAAAAGCCACTCAACATAAGGCGGGAAGGTTAGAGCAGACAGCCTACAGAGAACTCAGAACTTCTTGTTGAGCAGGTTGCTCAGATGATAGACATGTCATGGAAGCACCTCGATGATCTGCTATCACTGGCTAAGATGGCTGGGGCAGAACCAATGGTTTTTGTCTTGTCCAGGCCAGGCCAAGTTCAGCCTGTGTAAAGAGACATCACATGCTCTTTGCCCATATGTCTCTATTACAACCTTAGGGCATTTATATCTTTTTACAGGATATCAATGGCACCATTCACAATGCTACAGAACAGGGAGTCTTAAACAGTCTATCCTTAGAGACCAGTTGTTAATAGAGAAACTGGCTTCTGGACACCTCCCTTCATGGTCACAGTCATGTGGAGCACCTCCCCTCCCACCTGCGATCACACCCCCAAGGGCGAAATCCTGACCCCAACTTCAAAACCCCTCACTGTCTTAGTGGGGCCAGGATCTCATCTGTCATCTCTGTGGCAATTACCACAATTACATCTCATTACTGTTATTGGGAATTCGTATTAGGGAAGTATTTCATGTGTTACTAGCTTCTTTTATTGGAGCTGAAGACCAGGAGTGATAGTCCAGGAAAAAAACAGCTTGCTGTGAATCCTCATATCTTCCTTGACCAGCAATGGGAAACTTTTGCTGTAGAAAAGGCAGTATCAGCACTTGTGCTATCAGTCAGTTTTCAGGGATTGACCGCACAGCCTAAAGTTGAAATGTGTTAGTGGCATGTGCCTTGGAGAGAAATCCTTTTCCATAACCAACAAAATACAGGATGCACATTTAAAATGTCTGGGTGTGCGGTGTTTATTTCTGAGCTCCATGTCAGGGATTCAATAGGGCAAACAATGTCCGTGTGGCAGGGGGAATGGTTAGTGCAAGATTAGCTAGTAAACAACAGAAGAGAGTGGAAGGAACTCTCTTGTGACAGAGAGACTCAAGTTGCATTTGGAATTGCACATACTGTACCCAACAGGAAAGGGCTATTAACTAAATTCTGAATGAAACATACAGAGGCAACACAAGTGAAACAAAATACTCATCCCTGCTTAGGGGAAATGATGGTAGGAATCTCCTTCATTCAGATTTGTGCACTGACGATATTAGTGTATTTCAGCATGATGGGCAATCTCTTCGGCAATTGAGAGGGGATATAGCAGGGGGTGTGGTACAGGGCAGGAATGAGGTGTATTGTCAGATCAGGAGAGGAAGGTGGAGGAATAATCAGGCCAGGTCTGGAATAGCAAGGTGTGCGGCAGATCAGAACTGAGATACAATAGCACGGCTGTGGCTGGAAGATTTTCACTGTACCTGAGTGCATAGCATCTGACTCAAGCCAGTATACTTGCTTCTGTGAGCACTAAATTCAGATCTGTTTTCACATCTAATCCACAAATGCTCCTTAGCAATTTGAGAGTGTAATTCTGAGTAAGGTGGATGACAAGCAGATCAAATGTACAGGCACTGCAAAGTGCACCCAGAACCTGGCGTTTTATTGCTATAGGAAGCTGTTCATCAGAACAGTAAATGAAGCTATCAATTAACTACAGTGCTTTGTGATAACAGTACAGATGATTTGGCTTCTATAAACCAAAGGTTAAGGCAGAGTAATTCGCGCTTCCTCCACCTTAATGTGTTGCTCAGGTGGTTATGGTCAGCCTGCTTACCTGCCAGTGCAACTTCTCCCCTAGGTGCTTGGCACATCGCTGAACCCCACACAGCATCAGCTGCCCAATCCGATTCAGGAGGATGAGGTTCAAAGGAATCCCAAAGAGGGCAAAGAAGATGCAGAAGATCTGAGCACTCACAGTGCTGGGACTCAAGTTCCCGTAGCCTGGCAGGAGAAGAACACAAGGGTAAATTCTGATGCACTTTCTGCCTGTCCTCCTCTCTTGCAGAGCTAGCCTTCCATCTTCTGCTCGAAAGGGACCATGCCATCCCCTTCTATATATAATTTGTATTACCCCCCCCTTGTTTGTAACATCCTTTCAAAACATGGAAAATAACAGGTCTTTCCCTGCCCATTTTTTCCTGTTTCCATTTGCCAGTCACTGGTTCACCTCTACCCTAGCCAGGGATCTGGCAGGCACATTTACTTATTTGCTCCAGAGTGAGTATTATTGATGCCAGCGTAGCATTGGGAATAGGCCTTGTTAGGCAACTGCTGCATCGCATTGCGTATCTTATTTCAAAATAGGGAGTGTCTACACAGCACTTATTTGGAAAGAGAGCACTCTTCCTCCGACTTCCCTTATTCCTCGGACAATAAGGGCTATAGGAGTTGGAGTAAGAAGTCCTCCAGCTTGACAGCATTTCGACATTATTTCAAAATAGCTGCCTGCTGTGTAGCTGTGGACTAAGATATTTTGGAATAGCGCTTGTTATTTCAAAATAGTGTTACAGTGTAGATGTACTCTGAGAGACCATTAGGTACAAGCTCTTTACCCTGAAGAGCTGATAATTTGTACTGATCGTGGCAAGAGAAGTCATGGTGGGAAGAGTTGGTGGTAATATGGGCATCACACAAAACAGGTTATAGAGTTGTCTGGTGATAAGGTCTGCTGCATTCTTGTGTATTCATTGCTACTATTTTTAAAGGGACCTAGATAACCACTACTGGAGGGCTTTGAGAAAGGAAGGAGAGACATGTGAAAGGATGAGGGGGAAATGGAGGCTCTGTGGAAGATCAAGGAGGACACGCCAGTAGGGATGTAAGGGAGTAGCCGACTCTTTTGTGTGTTCTTACCCTATATTATACAGATTTCATGGGAGACCAACATTTCTCAAATTGGAGTCCCGACCTAAAAACAATTGTGGGGAGGTCTCAAGGTTATTTTAGGAGGGTCATGGTATTGCCACCATCACTTCTGCACTGCCTTCACAGCTGGGAAACTAGAGAGCAGAGGCTGTAACGTTGTCTGGTAGCTCTGCTCTGAAGGCAGCACATCGCCAGCAGAAGTGCAGAAGTAAGGGTAGCCAGAGAGTGGCAGCAGCTGTATGATATCCCAAATGAAAAAAGGACAACAAGAAACAGAGGACCAACCGACCAACTGGAAAAAACACCAGAGCCAAATTGGGTAAGAGAGGGAGGTAGAGACAAAAAGTGATGTTTTTAAATCTGAAGCAAATTCTAGTGAAGAAAATAAGGAGCATAAACTCTGCAATAGGTTAGATACCTCAGTTAATATGCAGAAGTGAGGGTAGCAATATCATACCAGGTCATCCTTACTTCTGCGCTGCTGGTGGTAGTTTTGCCTTCAGAGCTGGACTCCTGACTAGCAGCAACTGCTTTCCAGGGGTGTGTCTACACTGCACCGTTATTTCAAGATAACAATGTGAGCATTATTGTTACACAGCCATTCTGTTATTTCGAAATATTTTCAAAATAATTGACGGCTTATTCTGAAATCTGAACAACACCTATTCCGAAATAGCTATGTTGAATTAAGGTGCGTGTAGACTCTCCACAACTGCTATTTTGAAATAGCCCCTCACCAGGCCATTCTAAGTTATTCCCCCCCATGCCTCCTGGGGCTCTAATCGAGACAGCACGTCTACATTAGGGAAGCCTGCCTTGGACTCATTTTGAGGCTTCCCTGCAGGGTAGACATGCTATTTTGAAATAAGCTATTTTCGAGTATTTCTTCCGGAATAGCTTATTTCGAAATAAGCATCCAGTGTAGATGTACCCCAGCTGCTCAGCTCTGAAGGCAATGCTGCTGCCAGCAGCTGCACAGAAGTAAGGGTAGCAATATTGCAACTCCCATACCTTGTGACCCTCACACAACTCCTTTTTGGGTCAGGACCCTACGACTAGAACACCAAGAAATTTCAGCTTTAAATATGTGAAATCATGAAATTCACTATTTCCATGACTGTGAAATTGATCAAAATGGATCATTAATTGGAATGTGAAGCAGAAGGATCTACGATGACAGATCTTTGAGCAAGGTGACATGGTGTTTGAAGTAGGTGCTGAAGGTGATGCAGAGAGTTTGAGAAGGAAGACATGTATGCGTGTGTGCGTACATGCAATGGGGGGTGGGAAGGGAACAGAGCTGCAAGTGAGCCTAGTGGCATTTTGCACAGAGCGTAGTGGAATCCTGCAACTAACGGGAAGGCCAGAAAATTATAAGGTGGGAGACCACAGCATGCTACCCATTCCTTTCCTTTGGTGTCCTCTAGTCCTTCTTTATGGGAACTAATGAAGAACTTTTCTGTATGCCCCCTCTCCACCCAACTCCTGCTTTTAGAGACCTCTATCCTGTCCCCCCTCCGTCTCCTCTTTTCTAAGCTGAAAAGTCCCAGTCTCTTTAGCCTCTCTTCATATGGGACCTGTTCCCAAGCCCTGATCATTGTAGTTGCCCTCCCCTCGCCCACCCTCTCTCTTCCCCTCTCCCACCTCCTTTTCCCAGTCTCCCCCAGTTTTGTTCAATAAAGACAGATTCCATTTTTGAACACAATTGTCCTTTATTTTGGACATCAAGAAGAGGGGCTAGGGAAGGATAAGTGGAAGGAGGTGAGGGAGGAATGGGGTACGAGCCCCCAATGGGGAGGACTGGGCTGGCTCTGCGGGCTTCTGGGGGTGGAAGCTCTCCTGCAGCCCCCCAATTGCCCCCTCTCCCCAGCTGGCAGCCTGCGGCAAGTGCAGCCGGTCTGATGGCCGAGTGTTGTGATGTGCCCAGTGTGGGTACTCCGGGCAATCCAAGCCAGGACTGCTTTGCAAGTGGGGCACCCCTGAGAACTGTCTGTCCGGGGTGGGGTTCGGGTCCCTTTAAGCACAGCCCTCGGCTAGCCTGAGACAGCAGCTCCACGCTCTAAGTCCTCCTCTGATGCCCTGCCAGCACTGCTTCCGGCCATCCTTAAGCCCGTTTCAGGGTCCACTTAATGTGGACATGCTAGTTCGAATTAGCAAAATGCTAATTCGAACTAGTTTTTTAGTCTGGATCTGTTAGTTCGAATTAACTTAGTTCGAATTAACTAATTCAAATTAAGTTAGTTCGAATGAACGTTGTAGTGTAGACGTACCCCAGTAGACTCACAAGTAGAAGTAGGGAGTATTGGGCACTGGTGTGACCACTGCTGGAACACTGTGTCCAGTACTGCTGCCCACAATTCAAGAAGGGTGTAGATAAAATTGGAGACGGTTCAGGAAGAGTCATGAGAATAATTAAAGGATTAGAAAACAGGCCTTACAGTGATTGAGTCAACCAGCGGACTCTATATAGCTTAACAAAGAGACTGGTGACAGTCTGCATGGGAAACATATTTAATAATAATGGTTTCTTCAATCAAGTGGCAAGAGGTGTAACATGATCCAATAGCTGGGAGTTGAAACTAGACAAATTCAGACTGGAAATCAATGTTTAACCACTGGACCAAATTACCAATAGTTGAGAGGGATTCTCCCTCACTGGCAATTTTCTAAATCTGGACTGGAAGTCCTTCTCAAAGCTCTGCTCTGGGAGTTATTTTGGCCCAGTTCCTTGGTCTGTGTTATATAGGAGGTCGGATGAGGTGATCACAATGGTTCCTTTTGGCCTTGGAATGTATGGGTAGGTCTGCACTGCAATTAGACACATGCAGCCAGCCCATGCCAGGCGACTCAGATTGCAGGGCTCAGGCCAAGGGACTCTAACTTCACTGTAGCTGCTTGCGTTTAGGTTTCAGCCCGAATTCTGGGAGCCTCCCACCTTGCAGGGTCCTCCAGCCTAGGCTCCAGGCAAGCTCAAATGTCTACCCTGCAACTTAACTGCCCCTTAGCCCAAGTCCCAGGAGCCTGAGTCAGCTGGCATGGAACTTACTGAATCCTAATTCACACCCTGCCTCACTTTCTTGCACTCCTAGCTATGACAGTACTTCAATACCCCCCAATTATCATACTGTTGGCCCATACAAATGTACCTTTAATAAAAAGAGAAACATTCTGATACTGCTCAGATAAAAAATCTGCATTAAGCCAAAAAAGTACCAGCTTAGAATATAGAAGAATTAGGATATTAAGCCCAACACACAAATAATTATAAAATCTTCCTTGTGATTCGTCCTGATTTCCCTGGGGCTCCTCACTAGCAGGCAGAGGCAACCCATGCCCTGTGCGGGAGGGAGGAAGGAGAGGGGGAGGAAGGAGAGCACCATACTTCATCAACTAAAATGTAGGAGGGCACATGTCCCATCCGGGGGGCATGTGACCCCTCGTGTCCTCCACATCATCTACGCTAGCAGGACACAGGCCAGTCTCCAGCCAGGCATTAGATGGGACACCTCTTCTGACATTCTAAGAACATAAGAACGGTCAGACTGGCTCAGACCAAAGGTCAATCTAGCCCAGTATCCTGTCTGCCAACAGAGGCCAATACCAGATGCTCCAGAGGGAGGGAACATAACCGGTAATCCTCACATGATCCCTCCCTTGTCATCCATTTCCAGAGAAACAGAGGCTAGGGACACCATTCCTACCCATCCTGGCTAATAACCATTGAATCTAAAACCCTCTTGACACTACAAGAAAAGACCCTGCTAGGAAATCATTTTTAAACAAGTTAGTTTTGCCTGGAACGTAGTTAATCACAGTGCGGCTAAAATGACTGTGAGGGAATAGACTCACTCTGGTTTGCCTGGAAATTACTGGAGCAGGTAGTTTGGTTTTAAGTCAGAGCTCAGAGCACCCAGTGTCCAAACTTCCCTGCTCCTAACTGAGCAGATAAAAGCTTCCATCTGTATTCTGGAATGAGACTACACTGCCCTCCTGTGGCTTATTCTGACACAAGCACATACAGTAGATCTCAGCCTTTTCAGAGTCAAAGCCCATGAAAAGGTCACCAGAGTGTCCTGGAAAAGCCGATAAAGTTATGCGCGTGTCTTTTCTTTTTCCCAGCTTGTAGAAGAGCTACTGTATTATTACTGCTATAATCCTTGTTTTCCTGGGTCAGCATTTCTGACGTCAGTGCATTTTCAGAGCAGTACAAGTTCCCCATCTGCATGACATGTAGATAGATTTGGGTCTGAAAACATCAAAGATCACAATGGCTCAAACATCAAAGATTACAATGTAAAGCTGGAGATCCAGAATGACCCTTAGGCAACTCCTTCGGCATTCACTGGCTGATGCTTTAAATCCCATGTCAGGGCTATTAATATATTGGCACAATCAACAAGCACAAGCTTTCAGAGCCATTGGATAGACAATGGCTAGACAGGAGGCCACAGGCTTTTATTAATGTTCTATATATGAGCTAATCCTTGTAACCCTACGTGCTTTGGTTCTGTGGAGCATCCATCTGTTGCAGCTTGTTTCTCAACAAAGCACTAGACCCTTCAGGACAAATGCCATCTTCTAGGTGTTTGTACAGCACGCAGCGCAAAGGGGACCCGAAATCTGAGTGGAACTTTTGGGCACCAACACAGCATAAATACATAATCATTAGAATGTGGGGGGAGTCACAATATTTTTTTTACACGCTAGCTCTGGAGTGACAGCCACAGCCCCGATGCCCTGCAGTATGGGGCTTAGAGATCACACTCACTACACCAGTACCAAACTAGATGGGTCCTTGACTGCGACACAGATCAGCAGGCCGGCCACAAAACTCAGCAGAATCATAGAATCATAGAATCATAGAATAATAGGACTGGAAGGGACCTCGAGAGGTCATCGAGTCCAGCCCCCTGCCCTCAAGGCAGGATCAAGGTCCGTCTACACCATCCCTGACAGATGTCTATCTAACCTGTTCTTAAATATCTCCAGAGAGGGAGATTCCACCACCTCCCTTGGCAATTTATTCCAATATTTGACCACCCTGACAGTTAGGAATTTTTTCCTAATGTCCAATCTAAACCTCCCCTGCTGCACTTTAAGCCCATTACTCCTTGTCCTGTCCTCAGAAACCAAGAGAAACAAATTTTCTCCTTCCTCCTTGTGACACCCTTTTAGATATTTGAAAACCACTATCATGTCCCCCCTTAATCTTCGTTTTTCCAAACTAAACAAGCCCAGTTCATGAAGCCTGGCTTCATAGGCTTCGAAGTCAGGCAGACGCTCATGAGAAGAAAAGCAGACTTGGAAGCTGCATTGCAGTTTGCATCTATTGGAACACCAGTGGCTGGGAAAACCAGTGTCTCACAGGGAGGGAGCAGCGTGTGTTCCCATGGCTGTTCATACCCGTGCTATTCAGGTTCCACCCAGGTTACGTGTGACAAGCAGCAGAGATCTCCTACCGATGGTTGTTATTGCAGAGACGGAGAAGAAGAAAGAGCCGACAAAGTCCCATCTCCCTAGAATGGTGGAGTTTTCCTGGAGGGTGAGGCCGCTCTTATAGGCCTTGATGATCCCCTGCAAAGACATGGCAGTGAACACAGGTAAGACTATCAGCCCATGAGGAGGCAACTCAAGCTGCTCTTTGTGTAACTGACGATAATTTAAATCATAACCCCCCACTGCTCCAGTGGCTTCTCTCTTAGAAGATGTTATCTATGTGAGCCTAGAGAGCCAAGTGCTGGGATGTCTGCTAAACCCCAACTACGGGCACTGTGCTGTACAAGCTGTCCCTGTCCCAAAGAGCTTGCAGTCTAAGGACTGAGTTCTTCTGGTACACTGAGTAGCACCTTAGGCCATGCCTACACTTACAGGCACTACAGCAGCTTAACTACAGTATGGTATTTAGTAGGGATGACAACGTGCAGTCGACTACACGATTAACCGATAAGCCTAGGCCTATCGGTTAATATTGTCGACTACACGCACCCCTGCTTGCTGCCTCTGTATCAGACACAGAGGCAGCAGTGCGGAGGGCGAGGGGGCAGTCTGGAGCTGATACACGCAGGACACCGGCTTTCAAGCAGACTCCCCACATGTGCTGGCTCTGCAGATCCACTTCCCCCCACCTTGCTGCCTTCTTCGGAGGCAGGAGCTGGTGCTGGGGGAGCCATATTAAAAGCTGGTTCCTCCCCTGCAGCAGCTCCATGGTGCCGCAGAGGCAGCAGCGTGAGGTGGCGGCGGGAGGGGGGAGGGGAGCAGGGGAGACTGCCACGAAGCAGCCTCTGTCCACAGTGGCCTAGGCTTGGCCAATGGATACATTTATCCACTGCCCTAGCTGCATGTACAGCAGGGGTTAGGTCGACACAGTGCAGCGATGTGGGTTTTTCACACCCCTGAGAGTTACAGCTATTTCAAGCTAAGGTTACAGTGTAGACCAGGCCTAACAGAAACGATGCTGACTGCAGGTCAAGGGAACCTACAGAACAAAGAGTCTGGGGAAGGATAAAAGGGCCAAAAGGGCATTCTGTAAGTGGGTCACAAGTTACCCCTACTATACGGTGGAGTAGGACAGAGAGGGGGTTCCCACATAAAAATCCAACAAGGGTTAATCCATGTAACCCCAAAGCAAAAGCTCCTGAAAGGCGTTTGCATCTCATAGGAAGCACGAAGCAATAAGTAAGCCTTTCCATGTGGATGATACGTACCAGATCCCTTCCTCACTCTCGGGAGGAATGCATGCAGTAGAAGAAAGCTCTCTGACTGTGAGAAAGGAGATGTATTATATAATAGGACCAGTCTAATCATGCAGGGCAGTCACATCAGAAACCAAGCAATGAGCCAGATGTACAGACACTGCCCCAGCACTGATGTTACACTGGTCACATGCACAAAGACCTGGGGCATGATTCTACTCTCACAACAATGTAAAGCTGGAGTAACTATGTTGAAAGTCAGTAATTACATCAAGTTGGGCCCTTGATCAGATAACTATGCTGACACCTTCCTGCCCTTTGTCATGCCAATAAAGTTACTGATGTGGAAAAAATGATCTTAAAATAGCACTATCCTTAGTACACACATAAGCCGCTTTACAACGTTAACTAATCCTCCTGGCACCCTTGGGAGATTAATTATCCTACAATGTAAAGCTGAATCAAGAGTACACTAAACCCATCATCCCTGAGCAAAGCCAAGCCAAGCAGATATCTAGTAAGAGCCAGGTTTCAGTGTTAATCTGTTTCAGCAAAAGCAAGGAGTCCTGTGGCACCTTAACAACTAACAAATGTAGAGTATCAGGGAATAAGCTTTTGTGAGCTACAACTCACCTCCTCAGACGCTGAAGAGAAAAAGAAAGAGAGAGAAATAAATAATAATAATAGTAAAGGATGCAGAGATGAGACTGTGACATCAGTGCTAATTAAGTCAATTAGCACTGATGTCATAGTCCCATCTCTGCATCCTTTTTTTCTTCAGCATCTGAGGAAGTGAGCTGTAGCTCCTGAAAGCTTGTGCTCTGATACATTTGTTAGTCTTTAAGATGCCACCAGACTCCTTGGAGTTTGTAGTAAGAGACAGTCACTGTGCCAGGGATAATGCTCTCCGCTTTCACAATAAGGAGAGTTACTTTCTGCTCAAATTTACCACCCAGATCTGGATTGTGTAAAGATAAACTCTTTTAAATTAATAATCCATTAAGGTACTTTAGAGGCCACCAGGACTATAGCATCAGGTGACTATCAACGGATTTAATGAGTGGGTAAGGAAGTGGCCCATTTTCCAGAGGAGCAAACTGAGGCACAGAGCTGGGCTATGACTTGTCTAAGGCCACAAAGGAAATCTGCAGCAAGGCTTGACATGTATTCTGGCTTCCTGAGTCCCAGTTTAGAGCCTTAATCATGAGGTCTTCCTAAAAACCAACAGAAATGTTTCTGGATCCTTTTTAAAATGGCAAATGATGCCTATTTCTTCCCTTCCCCAAACAAATACACTGGGCATGACGCCATTGAATAAGCACTTAAAAATGATGTTAGCAAGAAAGCAAAAAATGGCAAATGACCAGCACCTCTCTCCCCCAACTGTCAGTCTAAGGAGAGCAATGCAAAAAAGAAAACAAGCAGAGCAGGTGATGAACAGTAACTCAGTGATGAGAAGTGCAGGAATGAGAACACTCTCCTCTGTTGGTACAACATCTGATTGGAGATACAGAATGTTTACATCTTTAGAGGGATGTCATCCAGCAAAAAGATGGAGAAGAAATTCTTGGAAAGGTGAAACCTTTGTGAGAAAAGATTCCCCCTCCCACTCTGAAAAGACAGCAGTAAGCAGCCCGTTAGCCCCCATGGGAGGCCCTGCCTACGAGGCTAGTTTTGAAAAATTCTCCTCTTGCTAGTGCTGGTTCGGTGGTTCTGGTGAGAACGGCACTTGAATCCCAGATCAAAACAGCTGCTTTTCCAAGGCACAAACATTGCTTACAGGTGGCATGATCAGAGGCACGTCTTCCATTTTTCCAGCGCTCAAGTTCATTCAGGGCTGGTGTTCACATGAAGCACCTGTTAAGCCTTGACAACTTGCTTGGTGCTGTACAAGGTGCAGGAGACAGTCCCTGTGCCTGTCCCAAAGAGCCTACAATCTGAGGGCCACGTTGTCCTTTCACACTGAGTAGAACTTTGCCTATGTTTTCCCTGCAAGCTGTGCTGCTGTAACCCTGGCAGTGTCCCTGTATGCTGAGCATTTCAGCGGTCACCCGGGAGGGATTCAAATGCCGCCAGGCTGATTAGAAGAGCTCCCACAGCCAGCAACAGGCATTTCTATTGTGGGGGCACATCCCTCAGTGAGCAAAAATGTATTCCACACAAGGCTAGAACAAAGAGAGAGAACATTGATACAGACGCAGCCTGCATCAATAGAAGGGGTTTTCTGCCACTGTAGGAACTCCGTCTCCCTGAGCTAGATCGGCAGAAGCATGTCAACTATCCGATAAGTATTTGTTTATTGAGTAGTTGACTAGTCGGTCACACTCCAACTTTCCCTATATCAGTGTTGGGGTTTGTAAGGTGCAAGGGATCTAGGCTCTAATCTTGAATATGCCCTGATATGGCTGCTTGCTGGGCTCTAAGATGACATTTAGAGGTAAATTGGAGCTAAATAACAGCACAGAGCACTGAGAGCCAGGCCTGGTGGCTGCAAACAAACTTTATGGGGCTGTGGGAAACTCGGTCACATCCATGCTAAGTGGACATGCAGCTAACTAAAATCATGCTGGACCATGGATATTGCCAGACCTGAGAGTGCCAGACTAGAGACTATTTCCTCTCCCACACACCATGGATTGAGAGCTATGAGTTCTAAGGGGCTGAAGTTTCTGTAATAATGAAGAAGCCTCTATCTCACTGAGGCATGAAACTTCACTGATGCCTACAGGTCAGGGGTTCTTTACCCATGTCAGCAACTCCTAACAGGCCTGACAAACCTACTACACTCAACACAGAGCTGTCATATTATTTATCTACAAAGAACATTGTGTGCGGTATCATATGATAGCTGGTGAGACTGGTCATTAAGATCTTACATAGATGACAATTTAAAAAGTTATGTGTGTATGCTGCAAGCATGTCAGGTTATCAGACACCAGCAGAGAGAGGTTTTCTCTCAGACCAGAATTGATTCACATCAGCTAGTTGGACAAACATTGTAAGCTAAACACAATGGGACCTACATCTGCACTCCAAATCTACCTCAGGATGTGAAATTAACATAGGGATCGGCACACCGGAGAACAGGCCAGGGGAGAGAAAGGGTTTATCTGGGAGTGCCCTGTGAAGGGGTGTAGTTCAAAGGTTTATTGAACTATAAGAGGAAGGCAAGAGAACTCCCCTTTATCCATCACTGAGAAAACTCAACAGACAGTTTCACACGTAACCAGTTCTTACTACCCTGGCTTACTATCTCCTAAAATCACAGCCTTTGCTCATAAACTGATTTGTTTTCACTATGAACTAGAACGTTGTCTTGTTACAAGGGAGCTAATAGTTGAACGGAGCAAGCGTGTGTGTGATCATGCACTGTCCTCTGGGGACAATTTACCCAGCCACTGCTGTGGAGTGGCCACACTGGGGGCTAAAGGCCACAGAGTGGGAGCTGGCAGAGGCGTTCGAGGGTGCCCTGTGTCTGTCACTAGGCTGCAAAGAGAGGGGGAGTTGTGTGCAGGCCTGGAGCCCAGTGCTTGCTGGTGGTCAGGGGATGCTGGCTTAGGGACTAAGCTGCAACAGGCAGAACTGTGCCTCACACTTTAAAGGCTGGTGTCTCACAACCCTGAGTACCCCAGGGAGCGTCACAGTCACTAGCGGTGTCCTGCTAGTATCCGCCCAGCCCAAGACTCCTAGGGTTTCTGAAGGGCTTTTTATTGCTCAACTAAAAAGAAAATATAGTAAAGCTTCTGTGCACGCTGCACGCCCCCTGCTTCCTGTCAAGCCTTGCTTTCGTGTCAGCTCAGCTCAGCTCTAGTCAAAATTGCACAGGACACCAAGTTTTGAAAGCAATAAACACCCCAGGGGACAGAACCACCCTGCAAAGAG